TACATACAGCTCTTCAATTGTTGTTTTTGAAATTTGAATTGCAATTTAGCAGCACCTAGCAACACCTTTATTCATCATTATTAAATGCTTCTAGTAATATATCTCAAAATATGAACAACAATTGTTAGAAATTTAATGGTAGAATCAAAATTAAATGATTATTTTGAAATGGTTATTTAGATTGTATTTGACTCATTAATTTGATTAGAGATTTGAAAACAAGATTTTCTACTATTCAAATTCATAATTCAAAAACACAACATTAGGACACATTATTTTATTTTATTTTGAATTGGAAAGGAAATTCTACAAACACAAAAATATAAATATGAATGACTAAAATTTTATAAATTTATTGGTAGGCGAGATCTACTTCTAAAATTTTCAATCCCATCAGCATACATTTTGGGAGTGTTTGGCAAGTTAGATTTTAGTCTTTTTTTTGGTTAAAATTTACAAAAAGAGAAAATATGGCTAATATAACTAATAAAGATAAAATGTTAATATATATAAACTTATGATTATTTTTATTTTTTTCTCTCATAAACATCACAATCAACTACAAAAAATCCAATCATTTTCTCAAATACAAAAATTTTAACTTATTAAAATAGTCAATTAAAAAATAAACTACAAATAATAATTTTTCAAACACCCACCTTCTATTCAATTCTATCAAGTTTCTATGACCCATTTATATTGTTCCTAGAGACTAGTCATAATTTTTGCCCGACCATTTTTATCATAAAATTCTCCTTATAGGGCCAAATCGCTAATATCTTAAAATGTTGCGGGTATCAAAAATATTTTCTCATTAAATAATAATAGGGGTCAAAAAATAAATAATAGGAGAGAAAGGGAAGAAACAAGAGAGTGAATGATCTGGAGGGAGATCTGTTGAGAGCAGTGGGCTGATGCTGATAATACTGAATACTGATACTATGCATATATATATATATGAGAGAGAGGAGAGAGAGAGAGAGGGAGATTCTAGGAGAGAGAGAGAGAGAGGATATGGATATGGGGGGACTGCATTGAATCGACAGAGAACCCAAAATATCACGAAAAATCTGTGACTACCTTTTGATTCTGTATCTTTTGAATTATATATATACATCCCTAACCCTTATAAATTCACATTATTGCTTTGTCTTTGGAAGTTGTGGTTATAGTGTAGTAATTTTTCTGGGTGGGTGTTTTGGTGGGACATGGATGCTTTTTCCTTCTTCCTTCTTTGAATGGAAAATGGGAATGAACCCCATGTGTTAGCAGTAGATGACAATCTCATTGATCGCAAACTTTGTTGAAAAGCTGCTCAAGAACTCCTCTTGCAAAGGTATATACTCTCTCTCTCTCTCTCTCTCTCTCTCTCTCTCTCTCTCTCTCTTCCATTCACAGTCTAATTAATTAATTGGGGCTTTGGTTGATTTTAAATGGTCCTGTTTGTTTTCACCACCATTTTCATTCACTAAGCATTATTAGCTATAGCAACATTATTAATGGCTTTGGGGTCTTTTGTTTCTTGAGTTTTGGTATGAAATTGGACATCAATATCTAATAAATTTATTAATCTATTATTTGGTTAGACTATTTATTTAAAACTAGCGGTCCATATTTATGCGGACTCTTATCCAGTCTGTTCAAACAAATATTTTTGATTTGCCAAGCATTATGCATGTATTGCATCATCAGCCCAAGGTTTTTATTAGGGCTGTTTTTTTTTTTCTCTTTTAAAAAAAAAAACAATAAAAAAGTTTGAAAATACCCATCTTTTCATTTTCATGCTAAGAATAATTTTAAAAAATTTGAAAACAAATATTTTGATGTTTCCTAGAATGTGGGTTATTTTAAGAAACTATTTTTCAGAAGCAGTTTTTGGAAACAGTTCAGCACACAATTTTTTTTTAATGTGTTTTTCAGAAAAAGAAAAAATAAAACAGAACAAAAACACAAAATGGCCCTTACTCCTTTTTATGAGTATTACTATTTGGCTAAAAAGGTGTCCAGCCCTGTTAACAAAAGCTAGTTTATCTGGTATATTATTTATTTAGTTGCGTGTTCACCTTCAATTTGGTCTGTGTGTTCAGAAAATCAGTGTTTGGGCTGCGTGTTCAACTTTCAACTAGTGTGGGCTGCGTGTTCACTATTCTTAATCTGGCTGCGTGTTCAAAAAATTTAAAGTTTGGGCTGCGTGTTCAACTTTCAACTAGTGTGGGCTGCGTGTTCACTATTTCTAGTCTGGGCTGCGTGTTTAGAAAATTTAAAGTTTGGGCTGCGTGTTCAACTTTCAATCAGTGTGGGCTGCGTGTTCACTATTCTAATCTGGGTGTGTGTTCAGAAAATTTAAAGTTTGGGCTGCATGTTCAACTTTCAACTAGTGTGGGCTGCGTGTTCACTATTTTAATCTGGGCTGTGTGTTCAGAAAATTTAAAGTTTGGGCTACGTGTTCAACTTTCAACTAGTGTGGGCTGCGTGTTCACTATTTCTAATCTGGGCTGCGTGTTCAGAAAATTTAAAGTTTGGGCTGCGTGTTCAACTTTCAATCAGTGTGGGCTGCGTGTTCACTATTCTAATCTGGGTTGTGTGTTCAGAAAATTTAAAGTCTGGGCTGTGTGTTCACTTTCGAATTCGGGCTGTGTGTTCGACAAATCAGTGTTTGAGCCGTGCGTTCACCTCTTAACTAATGTGTACTATGCGTTCGCAGTTAATTAATGAGCCAAGTGTTCAGAAATTCGAGTGTTTAAACTACGTGTTCAAGATGCAAGCAAAGTACTATGTCATAAGCTAAACTGCGTGTTCAAGCATAGCAAAGGTGCGAAATATACGAAAAATGCAGAAAATGAAGTAAATACCTCTCGGGCCTCATAAGAGAGGTGATGTTCTGGCTCTCGGAGAAGAAGATCCCCAGGTGCTCGCTCATCAAAATTAGTGAAATGACGGAAAACGGCACGCGGAAGGACATGTGCTGGCGGATTGTACCTCCCGGGAATAAAAGGTCGGACCCTCGGGGGCAA